GGGGGTATAGAAACTCTTAATTACACGCCCTCAAAAGTCAAGCACAAAACGTGTGGTCCGACCCAGTGTAAGATTGTCCTATTTAGGAGGTTTGGTACAAAAATACTTGCTCTCGTTTTGCTTTTTTTGTAGTCTGCTTTCCTATGGTTCTGTTTGAAAAGTCTTTTCAAACACTACAGCAATGCCTGTCAAACCATGCTTTCAGAAGTAACACGCTCTTTCTTACAAATATACAGTGTAAAAGAGGAAAATATTATTACTAGGTAAGCTTTTCGTTTTTCTTCTAGGAGAGCAGATGTGTGATAGAGGCTGTGGGAAAGTCTTGGAGGAATCCAAACTTGTGTGAGGTTTTGGTTTGTTTTTTTTTTTCAAGCCTGCAACAACAGAGAGAGGTGTTAAAAAAAAAAAAAAAAAAAAAAGGCAGCTGCGATCTTGGGCTGAGGCAAAACGGAAAAGGGGCTGTGGTTAATCTCTCTTCCTTCGTGGGGAAGCTCCTGCGCCGCAGCCTGCGGGAGAGGGAGGCTTGTTTTGGAAATGGGTAGCGGAAGGGAGAGCAGCCCGGCGGGTCATTTAACCAGGAAAGGGCAAGTTGGGAAATGCCTGCAGGGAGAGCCAGGGCTGTGGGTACCCTGGGATCGGTTAGCCAGGCAGAGGGGAAGGACGCCACTGGTCCCAGTTTGCTCCTCGCAAGGGCTGTAGCCGCTGGGGTTTTAACTCAAGGAGGCACCAGCTGGGAAGCTGAGAGTTAAGTTTGAGTTGAATTTTGCACTTAAGAGGAATTCAGTCTCTGTTGATCCAAGGCAGGAAGCGAGGACGGCAGCGAGATGAGATTACTGGGGGTAATTCAAAGCCGAGAGGCATTCCTCGGCTGTCGAAACTCTCACCCCAGATAACAATAAATGCGGGAATGGCAGAGCCACCAGATCAGTGTTGGAGGCACCGTGCCGTTGCCGTAGCGGGAGCAGCGATGCCACCCTGCAGGGATCAATCCCAGGGACGCACCCGCCACGCTGCCCATTTCCTCGGGGACGTCCCGTTGGCTTCCTCACCCCTCTACCCTCTCCCCAAAGCAGCAAAGCCCAAGGGTGCCGTGCTGCAGCCTTACCAGCACACTGTGGTTTTGCGGAGAGCACGCCAACCCAGTAGCCACCTTGGAAGACTCCATTAATACCCACAAGACTGACTGTAGGCCACCATCACACACCTGAGACCTGCGAGAGGACACAGCGAAGGGTTAGGGACGCTGGCAGAGGCAGCCAGCGGCCAGGGCCTGAGGTCGGCAAGCTGCAGGGAGAGGTTATTTTGCGGTGGCCAGGTGTGGTGCTTCCTAAGGGGGCAGTTTGCAGCTTAAGCCTGCCCTGATGGGGTCCATGTGGCAAATATGGGGAGGATGCAGGCGGGAGAGCCAGGGCGGCAGCAAAACCCTTCACTGGGCTGTGCTGTAGCTCTTCCTGGCCAGAGGAGCCTGGCAGGGAGCCGGGAGGTCCCCAGTCCTCCATCCTCACCACCCGTTGCGGCTGCCAGGGTTGCTGTGGGCAGGTGGACCTGTTCCAAGGGCTTCACTCATCTCCCCTTCCCAAATACAGCTCTGCTTACATTTTAGGTGGAAATGTTGGCACGTTCCATATTTTGGAAGAACCACTGGTTCCCAAAGCCTCGCCGCTCCCTATTTTTATCTACTGGGCTTAAAATAGCCAGTAAACGCGTTGCAGATCCAAGTCTCGGGTTGGCTGCGGCCACGGCTGGTCCTCCTGCCCTCCCCAGGTGAGCGAGCCTTGTGGCCACGGCACAGGGCTGCGGATGGGCAGAGCGGTGGCATGGGAGGGCTGGCAGGCGAGGCTGGAGCCTCGCCGCCTCTCCATTTGAATCCCCTTTGTGTATTTATCCACAAAAGGCTGAGTTATTTGCAGAACTTTATCTTGCAAGGCTTTTTCCATCCAAAGAGGTCCCAGGTGTCACCTAACCAACCCCCTCCTTCCTGCAGCCGGGCACTTGGTGACGCCGCGCTTCTCATATTGGCAGCCCCACCGCCCTGGGCTACCAGGAGAGTTTTCATTAAGGTTTAACGAGATGTTTGCGTTGCACTGGGAGGTGGAGGTCGCCTTCAGCCAGGCGGCTGCCGCCTTCATTTGCAGGACCGCACCATCAGAACACCCCCCACGCCCTCCCCCCACGCCCTTCCTGGGCACGCAGCCTCTGCTGCTGCAGCAGCATGGGCTGGTGAGGCACGGACCTGCCTTTCCATCCCGCCTCAGGATATTTGGGAAAGCCTTGGGGTGGACAGTGGCAGAGATGTCCCCTTCCTGGGGGCAGGGAGGGGGGACCGGAAAGTGGCCTTGCCAGCGCGGGAATAGGGTCTGGCCACCCACCCGGAGCTGCCAGAGGCCCCGAGAGTCGTGGCAGGGGGAGCCCAGGGTAAGGGGGGCAGTGGCCCCCAGCCCACCGTGCCGGCACAGGACGAGGGAGCGCGGAGGCGGCACTCACCCGGCATTCAGCAGAACTGACGGGACTTCCAGCCCTGAGAACCAGCCTCGGAGGGAGGGAGCCAGCGCATCTGCAAAGACAAGAGGAGCACAGGGTGAGAGGGGTGGTGGCTGCCCACCCTGGCAAGAGCTGGCTGCCTTTGCACTCCTTTCCCAGCCGTCCCCAGGCACAGGGCAGAGGGAGGTTGAAGTGCAATTGGTACAGCTGTCCCAGCTCCGGTTGGGACAGTGACACTGTCTGGAGCCAACCACGGCCCCCAGAATCTCTGTTTGCAGCAGGACCGAGCTGGGACAGCGGCACCACGGTCTCACCAAGCAGGAGGTGGCCTATCCCCTCTTAACACTGCAAAGCCTGCGTGAGATGGGGCAGGGGAAAACATCAGACCCCAAAACCCGGCAGCTCTCGCCGCCTGCCCATGGGCACTCGGTGCGCTGCTGGATAACACCACATCGGCCCCACCATCCTGAGGTTCCCCGTCCCACCGCTCTCTGCAGGACCCAGCCAGGTAGGCCACCCTGCAGCGAGGAGCTCCGGTTTGGGTGGTGGCACCCCTTTCCAACACCCCCCACCGAACCCACAGTGCCGGTAGCCGCACAGAGTGACAGGGACAACAGGCTGTGGCCCCCCAGTAAAGGAGCGCTGCCTGCTTCACCGCAGCACCCAGGGGTGACCGAAGAAGGTGCTACCACCACCCTCCCTGCCACGCTGGCTTTATAACCACGGTAGATAATATTTCTTCTGACAGCACCTAACATGAGGTCTCAGCCTGGGTTTTCCCAGGGGGTCCTCAGAACCTCCTTACGCCTCCGTTTCCTTTGCCGGCCGTTTCCCCGGCCTCCCGAGCAGCGCAGGTGCTGCCTGTTAGTGGTTATTTGACAAGGCAAGTACGTAGCTGCAATAATATTTACCGCCGGTCTTCCTATAAACAGCAGGGCCCAAAAAGCCAGAGTTTCGTCCAAAGGCGGCGGCTGGTTTGTACGCTGAGCACTTTTCCTCGCCCTCCCGCTCAAACCAGCCCCCAGCTGCCTCCGGCTCCAAGCGATGGTGGTTCCGGATAAGCCAGCTCAATCCTGGCGGGCCGGGGCCAAAAGTCTTTCGGGATGTGGCTTATCCAGCAAATCTGTTTCCGTGCGGTCATTTCCTCCTGCTCACCGCCAAGCCGGAGCCAGTGGTGATGAGCGAAAGCTGGGATGATGTCCGGCATGGCTGCTGGGGAGGCAGCTGCCTGTTCCCTGCCTTCACAGCCGGGGTCTCTTCCTGGCATCCCCGCAGTGCTGCTCCGGGAAACATTTCAAAGGCTGGCACTGCCAAGAAATCCTCCACCACCTCCATTTCCACTTCTTCTCTTCTTTTTTCTGCTCCTCTCCTGGGGTGGGTGGTTAATTTTTAACGGCCACGTGCTGCCATCAGGGGCCACCCAGCAGAAAAGCGCTTGTGACAAGCGAGCACCTCGTCAATAAAAGATGGATCCTCCATTTGCGCTTCGCTTGCCTTCTCCTCCCCGTCAGAGTCGCTTTGCTTCACGCTCCGCATCCAGCAAACGGCATCCCAGCGATGCTCGAGGGGTGGCTGAAGGCTTGGGAGCCCTCATCTTGTACCGCACCAGCAGCTGGACGGGTCATTTCAGTTCCGGGAGCGATGGGGACAGTCCAACCCCAGCGAGCATCCCTCATCCCTCCCTCCCTGCCTGGCCCTGGCGCAGGCAAGAGCAAAAGTAGGAAGGCAGAGAGAGGTGTTTGGGGAGAGGCAGGCGGTGCCGCCCGCACGCCCCACTGCCAGCGCTCAGCTCTATTCAGGTGCCATCCCTAAATCTCAGGGAGTGGGGGGGAGTGAGCGCCTGTTAGCCGGGCAGAGGTTAATGGTGCGGCAAGCACCCAGGGGAAGGGAGAGGATTCCAGGGTGGGTGGGAGGGTGAGCGCAGTGGTGGCAGATGGGTCTGAATTACCTGGGCGTGCAGCGAAGCGGGATAGGTGAAAGCAGGAGGAGGTAGAGCAGGTGCTAACTCCGCTGGGTACAGAGGGTACGGCCCCCACACTTCAGGGCTACTGGGGTAAAGTGCAGGCACTGTGAGCTCATCTGCAAGAAAAGAAGAAGGAGAGTTAACGGCCGCGGCCCCAACCACGCCACACGCCACCGCAGGTCCTTCCTTCTCCCCCCAAAGCAGGCGGGAGCAGGAGCGGAGCTTCCCCCGGAGAAGTGCGGCGTGCCAGTGCTGCTGGCGAGAGCCGACCCGCAAAGCCAAACTTGCCCGCTGGGAAAACGCAGGGCTCGGCCAGCGACGAGCAATGCTTGGGGCTGGGCAAATCATCTCCGAGATGTTTAATGACCCCAGGGATCTGGCGTCGGTGGGCGCGAAGGAGAGCGTGCGGCTCATGCTCGTGCGCAGAAGCAAGGCGAGGAACGGGCGTCCGCGCGAGAAATGCTCTTCCAGTAGCAGAAATGGGAACGGCGCGCTCACGGCAAGACATCGACGAGGTCTCCACCGAGACCCCCAGCCATGATTCAGAAAATCCCCAGCATGGTGAAGCAGCACCACGGGCCCGTTGCGCTCCTGCGCACTTTGCCAAGCCGGCTGTCACCTTCCCCTGGGTCCTCTCCAGCACCAGTAGCCACCTTTGGGGACCCCTGGCCACCGGCTGGCAGGTGCCACTGCGTTTGCAGCAAGCAGGCGCTGCTGCCTACAGATGGACCTGGCATTCCCCATTACCAACCCCCTGCGGCATCCCTGCTCCCTCCAGCATCCCGTGCTGGGGGCCCGGCATCGCTACATCCACCCATGATCTTTGTGCAACAGCGAATTGCCTGAATAAGGTGTTTTCCCAGGGCAAATAAGGATGGGGGCAACCCCCGGCGCCTGCCACCCCAAAAACTGCTGGCACTGCTGTGGTGGCAGGTCAGGGGGACCCCATGGGGCTCCCCCGGGAGAGCCAAGGCTGGTACTTACAGGGCTCCCGGGCGATGAACTGAGGTACAGCGGTGGGGAGAGGTGTGCTGGGGTTGGGGGTGCCCACCAACTTGCTCTTGGCCATCTTGGTGTTCGCCTTGGCAAACTCCAGCCGCAGCGTCTGGGGGATCTCGGGGTCGAAGCGGATGCCCTGCAGGAGGGAAGGAGGCACGACGGGTGGGCGAGCACCCCCACGTGCCAGCCCTGCAGCAAAAATAACTCCCAATTTTTTTTTATTTTTTTTTTTCAACTTCCAGACTTGAAATGAGCTAATTTGCCGGGCCCCGAGGCAGCTCACATTCCTCCGGCATCTTTAGCATCGGCACCATATTTGGCAGTCAGCATCCCGCACTGCCGAGCTCTTATCCAGAGGGATTAGCGGAGCCAAAAAAAAAAGTTTTACATTGAAAATGAAGACAGGGAAAAAAAAAAAAAAAAACTAAGCCAAAACCCGGGGAGGAATTGAAGAATGGGCTCCACGAGGTTCTCCCTGTGACTGTTTTCAGGAGGTTAACTTCACAGAGGTATGAGGGAGCTGCTAAATGAAAGCGAAATTTGCTTTTTTCTTTTACAGCTTTAGCTGGGATTTTTCCCGATGAAGAAACAGGAGAGGCTGGGAAAGGCGTCTCTTGCAGACTCATATCTAAGGCTCTAATCCTTAGGGTTCAAGCCCTCCCGGATGGCCCTGGGAAAGGTGAGAGGGATGCAGCCCCTCCAGGAGGGAGGATGCAGATGAGAAGCAGCTGATGGGGATCAGCTGGAGGGATGGGTATGCGGTGAGGCCAGATGGCATAGGAGATGCACATCTCCAGGATGGAGGAATTTGGAGAGCATCTGGGGAAACGAGGGGAAAAAAATCTCAACAAAATGGAGCGACCAGGCGTACTCACGTTCAGAGCGTTCTTTCAGCCCCTCCAGGAGGGAGGATGCAGATGAGAAGCAGCTGATGGGGATCAGCTGGAGGGATGGGTATGCGGTGAGGCCAGATGGCATAGGAGATGCACATCTCCAGGATGGAGGAATTTGGAGAGCATCTGGGGAAACGAGGGGAAAAAAATCTCAACAAAATGGAGCGACCAGGCGTACTCACGTTCAGAGCGTTCTTTGCTGCCTCCGCCTCGGAGCGGCTGTCGAAGCTGACGAAGCCTACGGGCTGTGGAGGAAGGAGAGGAGGCACCATCAACCAGGCTGGCAGGGAGCAGAGGGGAGGATCCCCCCACCCCGGGGACCAGCGGTGCTGAGGGAGGGTGGGATGCTCAGCTCCTACCTGCTTGGAGGTGAGTTTGATAAGAGACCCTTCGTACCCCTGCAAGAAAAGAATAAAAAAGGGTGTTTGGTGGAGATCCCCTGCGATTCAGCTGTACTTGGAGAGGGAAACCTCCTGTGCCCATCACCCAGCAGCCCTACAGCTGGGAGGCATCGAGTGGGCACAGAGGGGAGCTTGCCAAGGCTCAGCACCAGCACGGGGACTTGCTGCCGCTGGATTTTTGTAGGGATGCTGGATGCCTGATGATACTATCCTTTGTGTTTGAAAAGAGCCGGTGTCTGAGCTGCAGGTCTGGCAGGGTGAAGAGGGGTTTGCAGCCAATGCTCTTCTGCTGCTTAACGGGCTGCAAGTCAATGTGCAATTAAAACCCCGGTGCAATCGAAGTGCTCGATGCCATTTTCCTATGGTTTATTGGGGAAAAAAAGGCACAGAAACTTGTTTCTGTAAATAAAATGACCAAATCAGACTTTTTTGGGGGAAACCAGCAGGCTCCCAGATCCCAACAAGGTTGGTGGGGCCATGGGAATAGGGCAGGGGGCCAGCCCCATGCTTCCAGCCCCCCTCTCCCCTCCCAAGTCTGGTACCTTAAAGGGCCTGAAGAGCAGGTAAAGTTCCCGGGGCTTGATGTCCAGAGGCAATCCGCTGACAAAGAGCGTCCTCACCTAGAAGAGAAGAAAGGAGGTTCCTGGGGACCCTCCCTTATCCCTAACTTAGGGATACCCCAGGTCTCCTGCAGCCTTTGGTGGCGGCACACCAGAGGGATGATGCCAGCCCCAAGGGAATCTTGTGGGCAGCCAAAAGCCTTAAGCTACACTTTGGGGATGTGGCATTTTTGGGAGGGATGTCCCCATCCTTTGGGTGGTGGTGGAGCAAGCTGCTGAGACACCATGGAAAGATAAATGAGACCCGTCCTAAGCACACCGAGTCCCATCCAGGTTGAAAAGGCTGCCAGCATCCCAGCATCCCAGCACCTTCCTATCCCAGTCTGGCAAATAGGATCTCTCCTGGCATCCCCAGCAGAGCCCTTACTCTGCAGACAATGCCTATTGTCTCTGTTTAATTGCAGCGACTCATTAAGGACCAGGAGAAGCAAACCACAACTCTTCCTCCTGGAGGAACAGCCCTGTTTTGGAAGGGGCTGGTTTTAAGCAGCCTGTCCCCAATTTATAAAAGCCACCTTTCAAGGGCTTTTAACTCCTTTTGGGTGGATCTAATGTTTGCCATGGTGCAGCATCCCCAAAGCCGGGGCGGCTCGCAGAAACCCTGCTTCCACTGACCCCGAGGCAGGGTGTGGGTCTTCTCGGGGATGGGCAAACCCCACCTGGGTAAGACCCCGTGCTGGGATGGTTTTGCTTTATGACCAGCTCGTAACTGGGGGAGCTGTGTGGAGCCAGGAGCCCAACAGCTGGATCTGCTGCCGGTCCCCCTCTCCTCATCCCCAAAATCTCATCCAAACACTTTGGTGACCAATGGCCCACAGGAGTCTGGGACTGATGACGGCCCCAACTGGACGCACCTGGACCCCCCCACCCCCAGCTCTGGGGCTGTATTTAGGCTCAGACCGCTGGGGAGGGAGCTGCTGGCTTGGTCTCAGCCCTGCTGCACCCCCATGGGTGGATCTGACCCTGGCTGCCATCACCCACCAGCTCTGCTCTTGCTGGGTAACCTGGGGACGCTGCCCATGTCGGTGGGGTCCCTTCATTCCCATCCCCCTTGGCTCCAGACTTGTTAGTGAGCCAGCCCCGCTCCTGCTGCTCCCATAGCATCTTACCAGGAGGTAATCTGGAGCATTTGATGGCTGTAGCTTATTTTTTCAGGCACACACATGCCTTGTGAGAGCTGGTCTGGAGGAGCTAGACCAAGGTCACCTACCCCGGGTGCCAAACTGCCAGATTTGGGCTGGAGGAGGGGAAAACCTTGATTTATTTATTTTATTTTATTTTATTATTTGGCCAGGCACCCTGCCCCCCCATTCTCTGGGACACAGACATGCGAAACAGCTAGCCCAGGCCTATTCTTCTGCTGACATTTCTTCTTTCTCTTGCAGATAAGCTATCTAC